CCCCCCATAAGTCTAGTAACCCCTTGACAGTTGTGTTTCAGCTCCAGGCCCAGAAAAGCAACAAAACCAGCCACAGCTGACCTCAGGACCAGATGTATTGAATGACGGCCCCTGCCCTGGCTCCAGACAATCAATGAATGGAGACTACAACCTTGAAAGGACACACCTGGAAAGCTGCTGAATATTATAATGAGATCTTTCCCTGGGAACTCCCCTAAGATCTCCATGCTTAAAACCATTAGGACAGAGGACCCAGAGCTCTCCCTCCTGGCAATAGCCTGAACCTTTGCTTTTCCCTCTCCCGTTTCTTTCCCTCCCCCTGCCCCCAGGCATGTTAGCATTAGCTTCCTCACTCCCAAGCTCCAAGGGCCCTTTCTTTGCCTTTACAACTTGTTTCTTAACTCCGTATCTTCTAAGAATTACTTCTCCCACCTTTGTGATTTACCAAATAAATGTTCTCTTATAAAAGATAATACATAGTTCTCTGTATCTATACATTTGTTTCCATTTTGTTTGTCTGTTAGATTTCACATATAAGTGAAATCATATGGTATTTGACTTTCTCTAACTTATTTCGCTTTGCATAATACCATATAGGTCCATCTATGTTGTCATAAATGGTAAGATTTCATTCTTTCTAATGGCTGAGTAATAGTCCATAATATATTTGTATCACCTCTTCTTTATCCAAATCCTGCTCAATGGCATCAGCCCCTGCACAACAGCTTATCTGCTGTCCTCACAGCCATTCCTCACAGACAATCAGAACTGAGGGTCTATCCTTCCCAATGACGTGCCAAGAGCAATCAAGGCTCACCTGCAACAGGTTGGCACACACAATCCACACAAGGGGCACCCCTGGAACACCTGGCACAGGTGACCCAGAAGACTGTGCCACTGGACCCCATACACCTACTACATAATGCCACTTTACTGAGACCGGGAGATGGAACAGCTTTACTGAATGAATAGAAACACACACAGAGAGGCAGCCAAAATAAGGAAACAAAGAAACATGTCCCAAATGAAAAAAACAAAAACAAAAACAAAAAACAGGAAAAAACTTCAGAGAAAGAACTCAAAAAAATAGAGGCAAGTAAGTTACCAGATGCAGAATTCAAAATACTGCTCATTAGGATGCTCAATGAACTTAGGGAAAAAGTAGATAAGCTCAAGTAGAACATTAACAAAGAGATAGGAGTCTTTCTCTTCAATGAGGTGGCTGAGCAGCCTCCCCAGCAGACGCAGAGATGTAGATCTTTGTGAAGCCCCTGACTGGCATGACCATCACCCTTGAGGCTGAGCTCAGGGACATCACCGAGAATGTCAAAGTTAAAATCTAAGACAAGGATGGCAACCCACCTGACCAGCAGCATAT